GATTACTTCGGGATTTGATTACGTCAATATATCGTAATTGAGCATCATTAGACATAAGGAAGCTATTTGGTAAGTTATTGTATTCTTCGGTCATTGTTTTGGCAAAACGAATAGGTTTATCTGGCTTGTTATTCTGACTTTGTAGAAAAAAGATTTAAGTCATAATGAATTATCCGGCGGGTACAGAATTGAAAACCTTCACAGCTGGAGTGTTATTTTTCATTCGCACAATATGATCTAGGCAGTGCAGCCGCTATCTCTTGATTCGCCGAACGCTGTCAAAGTCGTCGTATATCTCATACAACTCATCGATCATAAATCTTTCGCAGAACCTTTCTCTCGAAAAATTGAGACGTTGACTCATCAGATGTTGTTATGGTCCATGCCTCTAGAGTTTATTTTTTGTTCTCGAGAGAGGACTTTACTTCTCAATTGCCTACTTAGTTCGAAGTAGCACCTGTTAGCAAGAGATATCCTGCGTTGAATTTCGAGGCTGACGTTGTAGTTGATGTTGATGCTGGTTGACGACGACTGTTTGTTTGATGACAGGAGATATTTCGTCTTGCCTTCGTTCACAACCAGACCCATTTGCTTCGCTGCTTTATCCACTCTGCAGAAAGCAAAATTAACGTCACGGTTGTTAAGGCCAATAATATCAATATCATCAGCAGACGCCATCAGCTGTTCACTCTTATAGAAGATTGTAACTTCTGGATTTAGTTCTGCAGCTCGAATCATTTTCTCCAGAAGTAGGTTGAAAAAGTCACACGAAAGAGAGTCGCCTTGTCTGAAACCTCATTTGGTACTGAACGGCTCGGAAAGGTCCTTCCTGATCCTGTCGGAGCTTTTGCTGTTGCTCAACGTCGGTTTACACAGTCGTATTAGTTTTACGAGGATACGAAATTCAGACATCGCGGCATAAAAGGCTCCTTTGCATTTTCGTGGATTGGGCAGAGCACAATTGAATTCCAATCGTGGAGCATGCTTTCGTCTGATCACAGAAAAAGCAGCTGATACATGCTTCCTTTCAGTTCTTCGCCGACGTATTTGATTAGCTCGACCGGTAATCCATCGTCCCTGCCGCCAGGTTGTTCTTCAGATGGGTAATTGCTATTCGAACTTCTTCATAGTGGGGCAATGGAACGACTGCTCTATCATTAACAATTTGGTAGTCGGGTTCACCATCTCTTTGTGTTATGCTTTCACTGCTACTCAGAGGGCTGGAGAAGTGTTCCCTCCATAATTTTAGTATACTCTGGGCATCATTCACTAGATCACCTCTAGAGATTCTACAATAGTGTAATCCGGTCCTGAAACCTTCTGTTAGTCGCCCCATCTGTTGGGATAATTTTCGAACATTACACATAGCGGACAGCTTGTCAAGCGTCGTACTGACGTATTTCGACCTCACACTTTCTCGCTTCCCTCTTCAACTCTCGATACATTTCTTATCCCGCACGTGTTGTGGTCAATAGTTACGTTGCGATGTAGGCAGTTTGTTTTCTGTCCATTGCGACACGCCACTCCTCACCATCCCCGCAGTTATTCGTAAAGGAGTCCGATAGTTCCATTATATCGAGTTATTAATGAATGCTCTCAGAGAGCAGGAGTGCAAGTCAAGTAGAAAATCGTTCGGTTATCTGCTTTGATTACAGCTTTTCGTTGGGGCTGTGTTTTCCGTCTATCGTAACATGATCGATCTAGATGGTGGCTTTTCGATCCGGAGACAGTGACGTATCACAAATTTTTCTATGGTGGAGTCTAGTACCACAGATAAAAATATTTCGGGCCCCGGTGAAGGCGATCAGCCTCAACCCATTTGAAGATGTTTCATCGTGGAGGCTGAATTTATCGACCTTTGTTCCAAAGATACCTCTTGATCTCTGATCCACCACGAATCCCACATCTAATTTGCCTTTATGCTGCTTTGCAGTAAGTGCTCCAGGGCCTACTCGCTTCAGTCCTTGTCTCGTTCACCACATAGCACGGACAGCGGTGATGTCAGCCTTTGCCCTTACGATTACATCAACCAGCTGGGCAGGGGCACCTTCCCAATTAAGGGACCGGACATTTTAGGTGCATACCATCAAATCATAATCCATAACACGATTGCAGGGGTCGTGATGAAAAGCCCGAAGCTGTTGTTTTTTTATTTTTTTATTTTTTCGGTTTTTACGTGATGGGTCCCAAACTTATTATGTTTCGCCTTCACATTTTAGCTCGCTTTCAAACGTATGTTCTTAGGAGGCTGGTCTAAGATCGGAAGTCGTGAGCTTCTTGAGTCATATGTAAAGTAATCGTTTCTGGCCACTCCCAAAAAAATTGTGCTCAGAGAATCCACATTTTAGTTAACCTGCTCGTATGGATTCTTGCGTTCTCTTGTTGAAAAGAGAAAACATATTCGCTTCTAATACTTCCTGGTGTTTGGAGCTATTCATTCAGCAAGAAGATAATGTCAACGTTACTATCCCAGGGTTTGAAAATGCGATACATACCATGAGTTAGCATCCACCGAAAATGCGCTATCCCAAGCAACCGTATGGATTATCAACGTTGAACTTTTCTCTTCCGTAAAAATCACCTGGGACCAATAGTAAATTTTGTTCGGTAAACGCATTGTCTACTTTACCGTTTTACTTAAAATTTTATTTTTCTTAAACTTACTGGATACCAGTCTGTATTCATTTGTAGAAATTTGGTTCTTTCGTTTCATTTTCCGTATTTACGTCGTTCTATTAAGTTCCCTTGTCAGAATTTTCTCTTTAAATTTCAGGCTTTGGCGCGATGGGTCAAACCCTTGCCATTTAAAGCGTCTTTAAGCTCTTACGCGACATTCTCCGATTAGCTAACATAATTTAATAAAATTAATTTATACCTGTAATTGGCCCTGATCGGTAGGAGCGTTTTTATAGCAATGAAACACCGTTTAGAGAGCATTCTTCTCAATACATACAATAGTAGGAATAATACCATTTTTATAGAATTTCAAGAGTTACCATAGACCTTTAAAATAACATCATTTATATTTAGAAGATAAACATATTTTTCCGTATTTCACATTAATATAATATCTTTATAACAATGAAACAAAATGTATTTATGTACTATACATATGCCTATCAGATGCACATAGAGTAGTAGTGAGCCAACAGTTTACCTAAAACTTTAAATTGTTAATAATATTTCATAGTAATGTATTTTGAAGTCTCATGCATATTATTATTAAGTAATTAAGTTGTTGCTTTTAATCGGCTTGCGAATATATATATTTTATAATTTAATTACCAAGACGAAATTTCTAACGATGCAATTGCTTCTGGCTTTTGTTCACCTAGGATATTTTGGTTACATGAGTATATATGTTTATGAGCTGCGCTTATTATGTATATATATTATATTTTTAATTTTTTCTATTTAACAGCACTTTTATGTTTCCTCACTATAACAATTTGTATTTTGTCTGTAAGGAACACTAAGTTTTTATTTTTATTGAGTTTTTATTCCGCAAACTCTGTATCACTCTGATTCTAAGGCACGAGGGACCGTATTTAAAATATCGCCTAATCTGAACGAAAACACGCATCCACTTGAATGTGTTTTCTTCAGCACTTGCACCCAAAGGGTAAAAAATGATTTTATTGTAGTTCTCTGTTTACATATATTACTAATTGTTGTTTTCACCTTTAAAATATTCACGATTTCAATTGAATAATTAACGGTCCAGACAACGAGAAAAAGGAGGGTGTCATGCAGGAAAGTATAAAAGCTCAAACAAATTTGTGATCGTTCGGTGATGACGATCGAGAAAAAGATGCCTGGATGAATTCGTGATATTTTTTGTTGATTGAGCAGAGAGAGTGTTGAAAATAAAGGTGATGTTATGTTGTGTGGTGTCTGTGTACATGCATCGGTGGGTGGTGTGAGTTTGTGTGTATTGATGTGTGGTGTTTTCTTCAGCAAGATGGCATTACATGCAATACGGCCAACGAAACTATCAATGTAGTGAAGGTAACTCTTGGTAAACATATTATCTTGCGTCGTAGACCTGTGTCGTGGTTTCAAGATCATGAGATTTAACATCGTTGGATTATTTTTTGTGGGGTTATTAAAAGTGACTTGTCTATGCAGATAAGCCTAAGACGATTGATTCCTAGGAAGAGAACATGAAAACATAATGACAAACCCTTATCTTTATAATAAAGCTAAATTCTTGGCCATAACATTAAATTATATGCCTTTTTTCTGCTTGAAACCCACCTAAAAAGAAAAACCATTTTTTAGTTCCATTAATCCTCTCAGAAGTAATGTGGTCTTTGACGAAAGTTAATATGATACGGAAATAATTGATTACAGCACAATTCCTAATTACAAATACATTATATTGATATACAAAATTTGCCTTACAGACACTAGAAATAGTTATATCAGTCACTATTATTGCTTAAAGTTATTAGTTTATTACCTATTTTTAAATCAGAGACAAAATCTCCCAAGGGTCCATACATTTTTGGGTATAGTTCTTCATTCAAAAGATAAAGAGATGAGAAATATTGCGTTATGAAAAAATTGTCTAAAGCGATTGAAAAATGGACTTTAATTAAACTTGTTTAAAAAATTTGATGAATTTTTTACGCACATACTTTTTTGTAAAAATTAGTAATATCAAATGAAAGAGAACATTTTAATTTTTAAGCGTACTGAATATAAACGAAATCGATTCGGACTTTTAAGAGAAAAGAAATATTTTCCAAGATCATCCAAAAATTTAATAAATCATTTTCGTTCGAAATATTGGGAATTTTTGCAACAGAGTTGTATATTTTATTTGGTGTTTAGAACCAAAAAGCGTTTATTGTATGAAAAAAGCTGAACCATCAAAAAATTGCAGGTACACTTGGGATATTTGTCACATAATTAAATATTAATATTTGATATATGCGTGTACTTCTGTAACAACGATAAATTAATTAAAATTAACATACTATATAATCTTTTTACAGTATTATCACTGGGAAGGATGATTTCTACGTCTGGTGGTATACCATCTGCTTCCCCTTCTACACCAATTGTGACTTTAAAAAGTCAAATTTGTGACGGTTTACCAACAGATACAATTTATAATAAACCATGTAGTGAAACGTTACCAAAAATTGCTGCAGTGGATGGTCAATTGGTGGAAGTATCTAAAGTTGGAGAAACATTTTTGCTGCATGAGCAGATCATTATGTCAGGGCAGCAAAAGTGTGCTTTACAAGAGAAACCAAAGTCATTAGTGGTATCACCGCAACAAGTAATGATATTATATATGCAAAAATTAACTCCATATGAACGTGCTGAAATATTGGCGTATCCGCATATATATTTTATTGGTGCCAACGCTAAGAAACGATCGGGCATTTTCGGCCCAAATAATTCTGACTATGATAACGAACAGGGAGCCTATATCTATATACCACATGACCATGTGGCCTATCGGTATGAAATGCTTAAAGTGATAGGCAAAGGGAGCTTTGGTCAGGTAATTAAAGCATATGACCATAAGACACATGAACATGTCGCTTTAAAAATGGTCCGAAATGAAAAACGCTTTCATCGACAAGCGCAGGAAGAAATTCGTATTTTGCATCATTTGCGTAGACAAGACAAGTATAATACAATGAACATAATCCATATGTTTGATTATTTTACATTTCGGAACCATATGTGTATTACTTTTGAGCTACTCAACATCAATTTATATGAGTTGATAAAAAAAAATGGTTTCAAAGGTTTCAGCCTCCAACTTGTGCGAAAATTTGCGCATTCGCTATTACAATGTTTAGATGCATTATACAGGAATGAAATTATTCACTGTGATATGAAACCTGAAAACGTATTACTTAAGCAGCAAGGACGTTCCGGCATAAAGGTGCGTAAGTATTGATGTGAAAATTTTGTAATAACAATCTTCGGCCCGATATTTTATGTGGGAATTGGTCATTTCATGTCTTTAGCAAACCATTCTTTACATTTGGGAGAAATGAATTATTAATAATTAATTAAAAGTCAGATCTTCAAAAAGGATTATATTAAAACGAGTAAACAATTCTTTACATTCAGAAGAATAAATAAATTATTTTTAATTAATTAGAAGTCAGATCTTCAAAAAAGATTATATTAAAAACCACGTTTCCTGAAAACACGCGAGGAAAAAAATAAATGGAGGATATACTAATTTGATATATATTAGGTTGTCATAAAAGTCTTGCGGTATTTTCTAGTACGGCTGCTACTATGCCGGTCTCTTTCGACCAATTCAGGGATTTTATCGCAATTTTCGACGACAGGCCTTCTGGAGCGTGGCGCATCTTCGGCCACCTCTACACCAGAACGAAAACTTTTAAACCATCGTTGGGCGGTGGAAATGAAAACTGTATCGGGTCCATAAACTGCACAAATTTTATTGGCGGCTTGAGATGCATTTTTTGCCTTTATCGTAGTAGTACGGTAAAACATGTGGTATTTTCTCTTTATTTTGCTCCATGTTGGCGACGCTACAACCAGAGAATGTATAAATATGCTTTATGTTCCCTGGCTCTGTTAGCCGTCCAATCGAACATCATACAGAATTCAATTTCACCTTCTCTATGCTTTATGTTCTCTGGATGAGCGTGCCCCTTAGAAAAATGAAATATCGTAAAAGTGGCAACACGGTGAGCCTTCTCTATATACATTCTCTGAACTCTACAACTAATTTTGATCGCTTTTATAGTATTTGTTCTATAAACTTGGTTTGTAAGCATTGTTTGACTAAGCATTTTGCTTCAGAGTCTACAATGCGTGAAACAAATTTTTACTCTGTGTTGTCAGAATATTTTTGATTTTTTAAGTCAGCATATGACGATCTCACATCTAAAGATATATAAATAAAAAAACCAACAATTATTTCGACAACCTCTCGATAAAATTTAAATACTATTAACATTGTTAATAAATTGTATTTTCTATTGGTCGAATTTCGAGCACTGGCGATTAGACTATAGCTAACCGATATTTACCGTATAACCAGAAGTTTCCAGTCCTTGCAAAAAGTCAATCAGAAGTTCGAAAATTTTTATTTGAGGTCAAAGAGGGGAATTATTGACCGAATTTCAACGATGTATCCCACCTATTTACCGATGTTTTCAGTAAAAATTCAGCTGTAGCTACTAGGGTCCTCAACTTAGGTAAGTTATGCTCTAATATAACTTTATATGGCAAACCTTAACGGTATTATTTGTGAAAAGTTTTATCCCGGTATATTTGCTGGTTCTTGATTTGTATACTATAGTGTAAGAATGGGATGGAATTTAAAATTGTGATATATGAAAAGTAGGCGTGGTTGTAAATTGATTTAGACAATTTTCCCACCATACTAGGATAATTTTCTCACATGACGAAAATGTTTGAAACTGGTTCAGAAAGAGTTGAGTCCTGTTAGCATTTAGCCAGTGGCCCACGCATAGTATGATTTTGATACCGGCTCCTATAAAGCCCCTTTGTGCCATCTTTGGATTTAATGTCTCGACGCTTTTATTTATTATTTTTATTATTGAGTTACCGCAGTTTTAGTAGATTCCAACCTAATCGTTATACGGGGAGTGAGCTGAGGTCCGATTTCAGCCATTTTCACACTGTCGGAGGGGGTGAGAAAAAATGCTATTATCAATCTAATTAATTTAGCTAATTGGTGTTCTGAGATATGTACATATATTAAACCATCGTAACCGCTCCCACCTTTTAAACGCACAGATGCCATTACCTAAGGGGATTGTACTAAAACAGGCAGTTGTATCATATTTGGGAGTTTAATTATAGCGATTTATACGTTAACGAATATTGGCGTTTAGTGGGCGTGACAATGGTTCGATCTTAGCCATCTGCAATGCCAACCTCTTTTCGATGACCTTCGTCATCCTGATCTTATATATACCTCTACATCTATCACGATTGATTAGGTGAATACAACTATTTTACACTGTAGTAACAAATTGCGAGAGCCGATATTAATTCGTTTATTTATACTTTTTTAGGTCATCGATTTTGGTTCATCATGCTATGAAAGTCAACGTGTTTATACCTACATCCAATCTCGTTTCTACCGCGCACCTGAAGTTATACCTGTCTCTTATACACATCTAGATGTGTATAAGAGACAGGATTAGGTGAATACAATTATTTTACACTGTAGTAACAAATTGAGAGAGCCGATATTAATTCGTTTATTTATACTTTTTTAGGTCATCGATTTTGGTTCATCATGCTATGAAAGTCAACGTGTTTATACCTACATCCAATCTCGTTTCTACCGCGCACCTGAAGTTATACCTGTCTCTTATACACATCTAGATGTGTACAATCATACTCCTATAAACGGTAAATATATAATACTTTAAAGTTCTACATATACTTTGTGCTTGATATATGAACATTACGTTATATAGGTAAAGATTACTRACGAGTATCTACAACTTCTCAGTATCTGGATTCTACAGCACAATTTTGCGAGCTTCTCAGGTTTACTACGTCACTATAATTAAATCGCTGACGGCATATAAAGTGGACAATTATGCTCATGGCTTCTCCATAAAGCAAATACGCCCGAAAAAATGTTATAATTATGAACGTTTTAGTAATATGTAATGACTTTTAAGACAGCAGGGAACATGCTTTCAATACAATGAATTTCTTTCCATAGTGATAAAAGTAGCATGAATAAAAAAGAACGTAAAAGTTAATAAGAGAAAAAAATTAATTAAAATTAAGGGGAGTATTCTTTATTCAACTAGATCGATACATATTTGGTTTGTTGGTCGGGTAGGTGTAAAAATAAAATAACACACCTATTGTGTTGTTGTGTTGATACTGCATCTGTATGCGGGTTGTCTGCTGTATTATCTCTATTTTCAATTTTAATGTCTCTGATGTTTTTGGTTTGACAGTTGTTGCACTTTTAGTTAATTACCGCATTCTCTTTGTTAAGAAGTTATTATTCGATTTTAGCACCGTATAAAAGAAGAACTGTTGCTTCTTCTTTGCGTGGACACCTCTTACGCAGTTATAGCCGAAATTACAACAGCGAGTCAATCGTTATTCCTTTTCGCTGTTTGGCGCCAACTGGAGATTCCCAGTGTAGCCAGGTTCTTCTTCACCTAGTTTTTCCAAACGGATTGGAGATAGCCACTTTCTTTTCACTGGCTGAACTACGTCAATGGCGTGGTATATCTCGAATAGCTCATTCTAAGTTTCTAATTCAATATTCAACAATTTAATCGCCTTTACCAGTGTTTTGCAGCTTAGCTACACGGTAAGTAACATTCTCTGTTTAAACTTAACATTCCCTGTTATAAGTAAGTAATGATTTTTTTTTTGGATAATGTCAATCTTAATAGACAAATTTATGAAAATGTGAGTAAATTTTTTCAATTGTTATATATTTGTAGTTATTAGTAATAAAGAACAAAACAAAAAGAATGGAATACCTCAGTAAAAAAAAGTAATTTATATGAAAAAAGTTTTTGTATTTCAGTTTAAAAATTATTTACATAGCAATAAGAGATCTCGCTACCTCAGTATCTATTTCTTGCTTGTGATCCGAATCACAATTTTAAGGGTCACAACTTATTTTAAATTTTATGCAGATGTCATGTTATGCCGCATAAACGTTAGCTTTTGCCATATCCTCAAATTCTCCATAGTTTTTTAAATGTGATAATGCTTTTTTCAACGATATAGCTCATTAACAATAGGATGGAGTCATGTGTAGAAGTTCACACAAGTGACGAACGTTCTCTGATCGGCATTCGCTTGGGAGTGGCCAGAAACGATTATTTTCCATATGGCTCAAGCAGCTCACGACTTTCGGACTTTGACCAAGTATGCTCCGGGTAGCCTAAGAACAGGCGAGCTACACTGAGAAGGTAAAATATCCCCTGCATTAGGCTGTGCGCTGGGTTTGGGACCCGCTACATAAAAAAACACCCCCAATGAAAATTAACAATCAGCCTCGGATGAGAGACCTCCCTTTTGATGACGACCATGGCAAACGAACTAAGGACTATGATTTGAGGTCATGCACCTGGAATGTCCGGTCCCTTAATTAAGAATTCCGCTGCTCAGCTAAATGATGTCCTCGTAAAAATAAATACTGACATCACCGGCGTCTAAGAAATGCGATGGACGGCACAAGGATAGAGATGAGTAGATCCTTGTGGCATTTACTACGGTGGCCGCATAAAGAAGCGCAAGTTTGATGTTAGATTCGTGGTGGGAGAGGCACTCCGTCGGCGAGTACTATCACTCACTTCGGTGAATGAACGTCTAGCCACAATTCGCATCAAAGCGAGGTTCCTCAACATATCGCTGATTTGCGCCCACGCGCCCGCCTCTGTGCAGCAAAAAACGCACGCCAACAAACGCACGGAAGGTTCGACGTCGAGGAGCTGCTATCACAACAGACAGCTGAACAATTTGCCACTCGGCTTGCACTCCTGCTCTCTGAGAGCACTCGTCAACAACTCGGTATGAGGGAACTGTGGGACGGCATTTCAAACTCCATACGTACAGCTGCAATCGAAACCATTGGTTTTCGGAAAGTGCAAAAGAACAGCTGGTATGACGAGGAGTGCCGTGTCGCAGAGGAGAGAAAGCAGACTGTCTACCTCGCAACGTTTGATCGACGTTCGGGATCTGATAGATACCGAGAGTTGAAGAGGGAAACGAGACGCATTTGCAGACAGAAAAAGAAAGAGACGGAAATCCGTGAGTATGAAGAGCTTGATAAGTTGGCCGACAGAAAAAGTATGATTTTGATACCGGCTCCTATAAAGCCCCTTTGTGTCATCTTTGGATTTAATGTCTCCGACGCATTTATTTATTATTATTATTCTTGAGTTATCGCAGTTTTAGTAGATTTCAACCTAATCGTTATAGGGGGAGTGAGCTGAGGTCCGATTTCAGCCATTTTCACACTTTCGGAGGGGGTGAGAAAAAATGCTATTATCAATGTAGTTAATTTAGCTAAATTGGTGTTCTGAGATATGTGCGATTTATATGTTAACGAATATTGGCGTTTAGTGGGCGTGACAATGGTTCGATTTTAGCCATCTGCAATGCCAACATCTTTTCGATGACCTTCGTCATCCTGATCTTATATATACCTGTACATCTCTCACGATTAGTTAGGTGAATACAATTATTTTACACTGTAGTAACAAATTGAGAGAGCCGATATTAATTCGTTTATTTATACTTTTTTAGGTCATCGATTTTGGTTCATCATGCTATGAAAGTCAACGTGTTTATACCTACATCCAATCTCGTTTCTACCGCGCACCTAAAGTTATACTTGGATGTAAATACGGTCGCGCAATTGACATGTGGTCATTTGGATGCATTTTGGCTGAGTTGCTTTCTGGACATGCCCTTTTTCCTGGGGAAAATGAAAGTGACCAGCTAGCATGTATAATTGAAGTTCTTGGTATACCTAACAAAAACTTGCTTGTCTGTGCCAAACGCGCAAAGGCTTTCTTTAACCCAAAGGGATATCCTAGATACTGTACGATACGCACAATGCCTGACGGTACGGTCGTTTTAACTGGTAGTGAATCACGTAGAGGAAAGATTCGCGGACCGCCAAGTTCTAAAAGCCTGTCAAATGTTTTAGATGGTTGCAAAGACGTATTATTTTTAAATTTTATACGCGGTTGTTTAGAATGGGATCCACAAAAACGAATAACACCAGCAGAAGCCCTTAAGCATCCATGGTTGCGCCGACGTCTTCCAAGGCCCCCTAATTATGTTAATTATTCAGGTGATGGAGAAAATACTAATGGTGACAATAGAAAYAATCGCAATCATACTCCTATAAACGGTAAATATATAATACTTTAAAGTTCTACATATACTTTGTGCTTGATATATGAACATTACGTTATATAGGTAAAGATTACTRACGAGTATCTACAACTTCTCAGTATCTGGATTCTACAGCACAATTTTGCGAGCTTCTCAGGTTTACTACGTCACTATAATTAAATCGTTGACGGCATATAAAGTGGACAATTATGCTCATGGCATCCATAAAGCAAATACACCCAAAATATGGTCGGACGAAAGCATGCGCAACGATTGGAATTTAAGTGTGCTATGCCCAATCCATAAAAAAGGTGACCCCACAATCTGCACCAACTGCCGTGGGATGAGCCTAGCGTTTTGTATGAAAGATTAAAGCCCACCGTCAGCAAACTTATTGCACCTTATCAGTGTGGTATTTGTGCAATACCAAAAGCTCCGTCAGGTTCGGGAAGGACCTCTCCGAGCCGTTCGATACCAAACGAGATTTCAGACAAGATCGTGCGACTTCTTCAATCTGCTGCAGGTACAATCTTTTATAAGAGTGTACAGCTACTGTCGTATGCCGATGATATTAGTTCTGCTTCCTCCAGGCTTTGCAAGGAAGCAACACAAGTGGGTCTGGCAGTGACCGAGGGCAAGACGAAATATCTCATGTCATCAAACAAACAGTCGTCGTACTGGCGACTTGACACTCACGTCACTGTTGATAGTCATAACGTCGAAGTCATAGATAATTTCGTCTATCGTGGAACCAGCGTAAACAACTCTAATAATGTGAGCCTGGGAATCCAACGCAGGATAAATCTTGCCAAAAGGTGCTACTTCGGCCTGAGTAGGCAATAGAGAAGCAAAGTAATCTCTCGACGAACAAAACCATCATAATTTCCGTCCTGCTATATGGTGCAGAGGCCTGGACGATGACAACAACTGATGAGTCGACGGTGCAAGTTTTATGGCCGCCAGTATGCCGGTGTAAGCCTTTTGAATGGCCTCTAACTCTGCATAATGCTTTTCTCTCATGGTTAAATGCATTTTTTCGAAAATAAAGAAGTTGCACGGTGCCATATTAGGTGAATATGGGAAGTGGTTAATGATTAAAATGTTATTTTTGGTCAAATAAAAGGTCACAAGCGCCGATCGAATGTTGCAATATTTGATCATCAGTCAATTTGTGCAGAACAAAGTTCACACACCTTTCTTAAGCCCAAATGTTCGGCCAAAATGTAATAAATCGATGTATTGAAGATGTTCAATTCCATTTCCATGAATTTCAATGATGAATTCGGCTGATTTTCGATGAATTCACGCTCAGTTTCAATGGAATTTCCGGTGATCACGGATTTTGATTGGCCTACATGTTGATGGTAATTTATGTCCTCACGACCACTTTTAAAACGTTGAAACCACTCGTGCACTCTGCTATTGAATAGGCAATCACTGAAATAACCTCGTTTCATCAATTAAAACGTTTCTGTAAAAGTTTTACCAATTTTAAAACAAAATTTGCTCGAAGTTGACACTTGTAACGCAATAACTTCACTTCCAATTTATGAAATGCCATGAAGTCGACATATAGATGGCGCCACCAGGTATTTCAAAAATACCTGTTTACTTTGGAGCGCACCTTGTATAGTTTGTCCGTGACTTTTAGTTATTGCGATAGAGAAAGCCACTTTCAGAGGAAGTTGTTGTCTTTTGAGCTGGAAGGGTAAGCTTGGGGGTATTATAGGGACTGTGGGTATCAATACCGTCTTTCCTTTGCCTTCTTTAGTAATAATGATGACCTGGACGATTTGGCGCCTCAACCTTGTGATACGTAACTTAGTGCCGTTTTACATTCTGGGCACGTTTAGGTTACGCATCCGTATAACAGGCACACCAACTCTGCTTACTACTTCCAATCTTAGACTAAGTGTCCTCTGGGTAGCCAACGAATATCCCTTTGAAGGGAAGCTAAGGTAAGAAAGCGAAACATCCCCTCCACAGGATTGTGCGCAGCGTTTGTAACCCGCCAAAACCAATACTAATGAAGACTAAACGACAGCTTCGGCTGAGAGACCCAACTTTTGATGACCACCATTGCAAACGAAACAAGGACTACAATTTGAGGGCGTGTACCTGGAGTGTCGGGTCCCTTAATTGAGAAGGCGCTGCTGCCCAGCTGGTTGATCTTAGAGGGCATCGCCGCCGTCCAAGAAATGCGATGGATGGGACAAGGACTGAGGTGAGTAGCTCCTTTCCCGGTTACTACAGTGGACATTTAATGAAGCGCGAATTCGGTGTGAAAATCGTGATGAGAGAGAAAGTACGTCACCGAGTACTAGGCCCCCTAGTACAATGGGAAGTGCCGTCTCTCAGCTGAAGGAAAACAAACTGTTTACCTTGCAACGTTATAATCGACCACAGCATATGCGGGACGCATTTGCAGACAGAAAAAGGAAGAGGCCGGCATGCGTAAGTATGGAGAACTTGACAAGCTGGCCGACAGAGGCAATGCTCGAAAATTCTACGAAAAGATGCGGCGACTAACAGAAGATTTCAATACCGGAGAAGCATAAAGAAGCAAAGCAGATGTAATCAAAGTAATCAAAGAAACAGTCGTATCACTCGCGACTAAGTACCCACGTCACTGTTGACAGTCATAGCTACGAAATCGTAGATAATTTCGTCTACCTTGAAACCAGCATCAACATCAACAACAACATCAGTTTCGAAATCTTTCGCAGAATATCACTTGCCAACAGGTGCTTCTTTGAACTAAATAGGCAATTGAGAAGTAAAGTCTTCTCTCGACGAACAAAGGCCAAACTCTATAAGTCACTGATTATTTCCGTCCTGCTGTGACAATATCTGATGAGTCGACGTTACGAGTTTTCGATACAAGTGTTCTGCGGATAATTTTTGGTCCTTTTCGCATTGGTCACGGCGAATACTGCATCCAATAGAAAATATATATATAGTACACTCCAGCTCTGAAAGTATTCGATGCAGGATCCGCCGGGGGAAACAGAGGAAGACCTCTACTTTGTAGGAAGAACCAGGTGAAGAAAGACCTGGTTTGGCTTGTAATCTCCATTTTCCGCCACCTGGCTGAAAGAAGAAACGACTGGCGTGCTGTTGTTAACTCGGCTATACCCGCGTAAGCGCTGTCTACGTCAGGAAGAAGAAGAATAGCTTTTTCGCACCGTCACTTTTGCTTAACAAGGTTTTCTTATACATGCAATAGTGCATCGCGACAACTACCTATTCGGATATCATTCCTTCATTTGCAAGGTTTAGCGGGAGCTTGAATACTGGGTGTCCTTTTTTCCAACTCAACAAGAAATCTTCGCCATTTCCATCTGGTGCATCCTAGAGGAAATTATTATCTTGTTCGCTAGCTATGCGGTTTGTTATCAAATTGAAAATTTTTTTGCTTCGGTAGTACCAGGGGCTCTGTTTTGTTAACTTGAATTTCCAAAGCCGCAGTATCACAACAAAGCTCCCTCCCTCTTCTATCATTTGATATGAGGCCGTCATATAATGAATTAAAAAATCATTTTGTGTTAAGATTGGAAAATGAACTTTACCCTTATGACAACGCATAGTGAAGGAATTTGTTTCACCCTTTTTGACTCTGAAGCAAAATGCTTAGCTTAATAATGCCTACAAACTGAGTTCATAAAGCCAATATAAAAAGGATCAAAACTAGGTGGTATTTCAACCAATGCACATTTGATGGAACCTCACAAATGAACTGAATTATTATAAAAATATCATTATTCCTATCGTTCTACTCAATTGCATAAAAAACCTAACTAACTAACGACTGATATCAAAGTTTATTTCTACTACAAGGTTTTTCCACGATTTATTTGTCGAAAAATTCGAACACAAAACAGGATTGAGTTTCAAAGAACAAAATTAAAACTTGCAATATTAGAACTAAAAACCAGTGGCAAAAATTGAACGACGTAATCATAAATATATTAAATTTTAATTCCATATTCCACTTTAATGTTCCACAATGCCTGCTACTGTAGCTAATATTGCGTCATATTGAAAATCACATTTTTCCAATACCCAGAGAGTTTCTGGTAAATATTTGCCGACGCCCTGCTTTTCGCTGAGGGACTGAGAGTCGTCGGGCAATCCAATCTACTGTCTCAGAAGCACACTGATTAGGCAGAAATAAAGGGATGCCCAATTTTTTCCAGTGTGAGAGCGAATCAAAATTGGCGTTTTTTATAACATTTTTACAATTAAAAATTACTATATCGATGTCGCTTAATATACGGGGAAAGTATTTAAATATTTATACGGTGCCATATGTTAAAACCACTGACTGTTGACCATTCAATACCCGATAAAAGGACTTAAGTTTGTTAGATCTCAATCAATAAATGGTTTTAATCATTTTCCATTGAAAATTAGTACAATGTATACATACAAATACATTACAAAGCGTTTCATCAAATATATTAAAATTTCACAAATTAATTTAATTTTCATTGTTTTAAATGTTTTATAAGGGCTCCTTAACGAAGCAACAAATCTCTTTCCTATATTTTTTGTGTTGCGGAATAGCTTCATCAGGTGTTTGAGTGGACCGCTGAGTGACCATACATATTACGTTCTCTAGACGCCGAAAAGCTGACTATTCAGGTGTCTCTAATGCACGATGAGAAGCTGTGCGAATCCCATTTTCCTGACACTGAGCATCAGCTTGGGCAGAAGTTTCTCTAGCTCTGTCTTGACTTGCTGCATGCTCACGTCTGCACCGTTTAGCAGGTAGCAAACAATAGTTATATCAGTTTCATGCAAACAAGTGAAACTAAATCTAGATGTGACTTACCAAATATGTACCTTGAATATGAAAATGGAGTGCCAGGCGACGCCTTAAGCAACGTCATAAAAATGCAAACTGCATTTCAAGAAATATATAAATTTTGGGACCAAGAATTTTAGTGATGAAAAGAATTTTGTATGAAAGAATTTAATTTATACGTACCCGGTGGTCTTCATAAATATTGAAGAGATTTCATATGCCTATGAGAGGTATGCCATAAACGCCTCCATTGTGGTGAATCACAAATGGTATGAGTAGAATTTTCATCAAAACGAAAGTCCCAAATATACTTTGAAGCAGGCAAAATTAAAGAAGAAATTTACGCTGTTGAGGAGCGAACTCCCTGATTTTGCTTGTCATTTGCATGGTGATGAATGAAATTTCCAATGCACCGATCCATGTAGCTAAGTAGGCAAAGGCGTTGTAGGCCACTTATGTAGTAGGTCCAGATTTTAATTCGATCGAGGATCTGTGGGGAATTCTTTCAGGCAAAATAAATGAGACAAAATTCATATTTACGTGTTTAAAAAAACTGATGGAGTCAATACTTCATCCTGTCTAATTGATGAAAATACTTAAAGGTATTGGAGTATTTTTTTGCTCGTAAAAACATATCAATTAAAAAAATAATTCAATATAATTTTATTGTTTAATATTTGGTTCTATTAGTTATAACAACTATGAAAAAAATTAATAATTATTTGATTTACTTGGAAAATGTTAGCTTCCTGCTAGAATATTTCCTAAAAGATGTATTAATATATAATACTACATATTTTGACTCTAAACAACTTATCATTTAACGAATCCTGAAAATTAAATCTTTTAAGATGTTTTATTACTTGAAGCACTTCCCAAAAACAACCAAAAAATACAAAGAAATAGCAGCCCGCCCCGATTTACACGGGTATTAGACACACATACTTTCCCGTTTTGCGGGGGGTTATTAACAAAGAGTAAAATGAAGGAAATTCGTACCTCCAAGTGTATGTTTTTGCATTATTATTATTTTTTATATTTTTGTTATTTTGTGAAATTTCTGAAGTGTATGCAAAGTTTTTAAGGTGCTCAGTATTTGTGTGTTTAACTAACAATTAAGAAATTATCGATATAATACAAAAGAAAAGAGGAAAAGAGTAAATAAAGTATTAAATAAAGTATTAAATAAAGTGTAAGCAAAGATTTTAAAGTGGCCGTAGGCCTAAATTATTTGTGTGTTTAACTAACCACTAAAAAAGGGCGCTAAAGAATAAATAAAATTGTTGACACAGCCAGGTTCTAAGGGCTTTAGAAACTTCGTTAGAAGTGGAAGAATAAGAAGCAGTGACAGTTACGAAAACAGTTCGAAACACTGCCAAGCGGTAGTATAAGAAATAAAATTGCCGGTTCGGCAGACCAAGTATTATTCATTCAATACCGTGAAAGTGAAACAATAAAAAGACCTCGCGAGAGCGATAGGAAAAATATTTCGAAAATGCAAAGTTGTAATCACTTACCCCACTTGGAAGAAATACATTTTTTAGACGTAGGTCGCTTTTGCCCTATTTACATACGACACTGGCAGGGTGACCGATGAAATTGTTGATCGATACCGGAGCGGGAAAAAAATTTTGTTAAACCCAATGAAAATGTAAAAGGGAAAGGAATGTAGAAATCGCAATTAAAGTTTGATCCATCCACTGTACTGCCGTGATTAAGGAAAGGTGCTTAATTAACGTGCTCGGAAAGACGGCTACTTTTTACCTTCTATCCGAACTTAAAACATTTGACGGGCTTACTGGATATTACATTTGACTTCTTGAAAGAGGTTGGCGCAAAAATAGACCTACAAAAGGGAACTCTTCACTAAAGTGTCAATAAAGTAGTTGGAAATGGGAATTCTCTTAAGGAACCAGGGAATATGGAAAATATTTCTTTTATATTGGAAAAACATGCAAAAGTTTCGCAAATCCAGATGATGCCTTGACGTTTAACTCTAATATGATAGCCACCATTAGGACAGTCGATAAAGAACCGATTTATTCAAAGTCATACCCTTACCCGATAGCCGTTTCAGAATTTATAAATCAGGAAACTACATAAAGATTTACCAATAATTCGTTCGATCTCCATATAATAAACGTATATGGGTTATCGATAAAGAAAGGGATAGACGAGAACCGGAAGAAGAAGATGACGATGGTAATTGATTTTAGTAAACTGAACGTTAAAGCAGTTTCGGACAGGTATCCTATTCCAGATACTTCAGTTATTTTAACTAACATGGGGAAATCAGAATTTTTCACGACACTTGACTTAAAGTCAGGGTTCCACCAAATTAAGTGGGCGGAGAAGGACAAAAAAAAGACTGCCTTCTCGCCCGCAATTTTCTAAAGAGCAATTGATGATGTTCTCAGAGATGAAATAGGGAAATGCTGTCATGCTTACATCGATGATGTAATTATATTCTCAAGCAATGACAGGATCATTACAGAGACATCAACAAAGTTTTAACGAAACTTTCCCAAGTCAACATGCGAGTTTCAATAGAAAAATCAAAATTTTTTAGGGAATAAGTCGAATTCCTTGGATATATTGTTTCGAAGGAAGGGATAAAGACATACCCTGATAAATTCAATGACATTCTGAATTATAAAACGCCTAGCACTCCTCGTGGCTTATGACCATTTTTGGGGCTATCTGGTTACTATAGGTAGTTTACTAAAGATTATGCCTCCATAATAAAGCCTCTAAAAAGATATTTAAGGAGAGAAAATGGTAATGTTGGAACTAATCAATCAAAATATGTTGGAATTAAGTTGGACGACTACGCGTTGATGGCTTCCGAAAAGTTAAAAGAATTTAATCTTCTGAGGACGTACTTCTTCTATATCCTGATCACAATGAACCATTTGACGTAACAACTGACGCTTAAGCACACGCTATTGGGGCAGCATTATCCCAAGGCAATAGGTCGATACCCATGATTTCCAGAACATTATCAACAGCATAAGAGATTTATCGAAATCAGATAATTCTTGAAGAAGGAATTATCACAACCAAGAAAAGAAAAATTATTTTCAAGTCAAAGATAAGGTATCCAATTATATTTACAAATTTTCAGAATCTATTAGAATTGATTGGTGAATGCGTTAATCCTGATGTAGTTAACGCTATTCATTGCAATTTGCCTATTTTGGGCAAAATTCAGGATGAGATTGTAAGGAAATTCCCGTCAATTAAATTTCGTCACACAATGAGACAAGTTGATAATATTTTTAATGAAGACGAATGAAATGCTGACAATAGAACATAGTAGAGTTCATCGCTCTGTTCGAGAGAACATTAAACAGCTATTGAATGACTACTATGTTCCAAATATGCCGAAGAAATTAAAGGAAATTACTGTCAACTGCAAAATTTGTAAAGAAGCCAAGTACGAGCGGCATGCGATTAAACCAGAAATAGGAAAGACTCCGATACCATCCCGTCCTGGGGAAATGTTACATATTGATATTTGTTCAACCGGTAAACATTATTTTTATACCCTGAACAGGGTATATTAATTTTGTCACGAAGCTTGTAACACCCAGCAGAAAGCGTCGGAGACCCTATAAAGTATATATATAAATGATCCGTATGTTGAATTGATTCGATTTAGCCATGTCTGTCTGTCCGTCTGTCTGTATATATACGTATATATACGAACTAGTCCCTCAGTTTTTAAGATATCGTTTTGAAATTTTGCAAACACCATTTTCTCTYYAARRARCTACTCATTTGTCGGAACTGCCGATATCGGACCACTATAACATATAGCTGCCATATAAACTGAACGATCGGAATCAAGTTCTTGTATGGAAAACTTTCACATTTGACAATGTGTCTTCACTAAAGTTGGCACAAGCTATTTTCTATGGCAACAATATAATCTCCGAAGAAATTGTTCATATCGATTAACTATAACATATAGCTGCCATACAAACTAAACGATCGGAATCTAGCGCTGGTATGGAAAACTTTTGCATTTAATAAGATATATTCGCGAAATTTGGTATAGATTATTTTCTAAGACAATAATGTAATCTCTGAAAAAAATTGTTCAGATCGGTTAACTATAACATATAGCTGCCATACAAACTGAATGATCGGAATCAAATGCTTGTATGAGAAACTTCCTTATTTGACGATATATCTTCCCGAAATTTAGTAAGAGTTATTTTTCATAAAAATAATGTTATATCGGAAGAAATTATTCAGATCGGCTTACTATAGCATATAGCTGCTATACAAACCGAGCGATCGGAGCAAATGACCTGTATGGAAAACTTTCACATTTGACGTGGTATCTTGACGAAATTTGGTATAGATTATTTTCTAAGACAACAATGTAATCTCTGAAAAAATTGTTCAGATCGGTTAACTATAACCTATAGCTTCCATACAAACTGAACGGTCGGAGTAAAATGTTTGCATTCTAGACTTTTTCAGTTAACGATATATATTCTGCAAATTTGAAGTGTTTATTCTCTCGGATAAACGGATCGGATAACAAAACCTGCCATACAAATTGCAAATCAAAATTAAGTTCTTATGTGACAAGAAACATTTCTTGAAATTCAGCATTGATTATTACCCAAGATTCGCTTTAATCTTCAAAAGAATTGTTAAGGCCGGACTGCCATAAAAACCGACCCATCAAAACCAAGTTCATATATGGGCAACTTTGGCTAAATATCATCACAAAATTGTTAATTACTTTTTTATTAAATAGCATGTGTAACGGAGCTAATTATTAATCTACATCATTTTTATATTGTAATCAGAATTAACCACAATGCAAATAATATGTTCTAAATAAATCTAAATTATGTTAAGAATACATAACATAAGAATAATGAACAAAAAAGCTTTTTTTGATTTGCCTTAAAATAATTAAATCCCTAACTTTTCCAGACACATATTTTATTATATATTAATAATAATAGAGCACTATTTTTTTAAACATAATTATCCTGTTTTAAAACCCTAATTAAAGGTAAAGGTAGGTACAAAACAAAACCTTGGTAATAACATAGTTCGATGGCTAGGTAGAAAGTGT